AAAGGGTTAAGTATGTATATCTTAATCCCCAGAGCAACCACTAAAGTAAAAAAAACAAAAAACAAAGGAGATATTGACAAAAAGCAAATAGATAGGTTTAAAATGAAATATTTAAATTGCAGTTGCATTCCCTATGCAAGACCTATGCATTCAAAACTACCAAATATTACTGAGATGAATTTTTATAGACCTAAATAAATTGAGAGATACACTATGTTTGTGAATCGGAACACTCAATATTGTTAGTATTTCAATGACCCACAGATTCAAAGTAATCCCAAACAAAATTCCTGTAGGCTTTTGTGCAGAAATTGGCAAGCTGACTCTAAAATTTATATGAAAATATCAAGGACCAAAACATTATGAAAAGGAAGAACAAAGTTGGAAGACTCACAGTACCTGATGTGAACACTTAATGTAGGCTACAGTAATTAAGACACTGTGGTATTGGCAGGTAGACCAACGCTTATGTGCTCAACTGTTTTTGACAAGGGTGCCCAGGTAAATCAGTGGAGAAGAGACAGTCTTTCCAAAAATGCTGCTTGAACAATTAAATATGCATATGCCAAATAAAGAAGAAAAACAATGACCCTTGCCTCATACCAGGTAAAAATATCCATCTCATTATTGGCCATAGGCCTAAATATAAGAGCTAAAATTATAAATCCTCTGAAATAAAACATGAGAAAATCTTTGTTACCTTGGGTTACAGAATTATTATATAGGGCACAAAAAGCATGAACCATAAAAGAAAAACTTGATAAACTGGACTTTATCAAAATTAAAAATATCTTTTTATGGAAAGACACTGTTAAGATAAAATCAAGCCACAGCATGGGGGTAAAAACTTGGAAAACACATAGCTGATAGAGGGCTTGCATCCGGAATATATAAAGAACTCTCACAACTTAATAATAACAAAAATGGCAACAAATTACAAGAAACAGTTCACCAAAGATGTATAGGTGGCAAATAAACACATGAAAAGATGCTGAACATCAGTTACTGGAGAAATGCAAATTAATATCACAATGAGATACTCTTATACAGCTACTAGAAAGAAAGACTAACAATATTAATAATACCAAGTGCCGGCAAAGTAGCAAAACACCGGAACTCTCATATGCTGCTGCTGGGCATCCAAAATGGTACAGTTACACTGGAAAACAGTTTGGTAGCGTCTTGTGAAGTTGAACATACACTTACCACATGACCAAGCAATTCCACTCTAGATATTTACCTAAGAAATAAGAAAATATATGTCCACACAAAGACCTGAACATGAATGTTCATACCAGCTTCTTTCATAATAACCAAAAGTTGGAAAAAATTCAAAAGTGCATACCCTGGTCTATGGATAAGCAAATGGAGTACCACTCAGCTACAAATAGGAACAAACTGCTGATACACGTCACAACATGGATGAACCTAAAAAGCATTAAGGTAAATGAAAGAAGCAAGATACATAAGGCTGCATACTCTAAGATTCATTTATATGACATTCTAGAAAAAACAAAACTAGAAGAAGAAACAAGATCAGGTGTGGGAGTAGGGGAGAAGTTTAATTGTAAAGGGGAACAAGGGAGTGTTTTAGGGGGAATGAAAATGTCCAATATCTTGATTGTGGTGGTGTTTAAATGACTATATATTTGTTAAACCTATAGAACTGTACACTTGAGAGGTGAACTTCATGGTATATAAATTATACCTCAATAAACCTCATTTTAAAGAAAAGAATGCAGTTACATCAGAATAAATATATCATGACAATACATGGAAAATGCATATGGAAATTACGTTAAAACATTACCATATACAACCCGCTATCATATTGTGCTATTTATGCATTTCCTTTTATTAAACTACCTGTTAAGTATTAAGGATAGAAAAAATACTAACAAATATTTAATTCTAGTTAATGATATGCCTGTGGGAATATTTAGGTGTGAAGTGTACTGATCTCCACAACGTACTTTGAAATGCATCCCACACAAAAAATAAGGGAGATTGATGGAACAACAGAGGAATTAGTACACAAATAGGAGATAAAGAAAATATAGCAAAACATTCATTGTAGAATCTAGGTGGTATTATATGGATGTTCAAACCATAATTCTTTTGCTTGTTTTGTCTGAAAATTTTCATAATAAAATGTTGGGGGAAAAAGGAGCTGATAAAGAACAGCAAAGTAAGCTCAAAGAAGTAGAAGTAGAAATAAAAGTAAAAGGAAAACGGAAAACACACAATAGAGAAAATTAACAAAGGTAAAAGTTCTTTCTGTGAAAAGCTCAACAAACTTAAAATAATAAATATGACAGTGAGGCTACTCTTGATACTTGGATCTTGATAGAAGATTTTTATTATCTCAGAATGACCAGAGAATTTATGAGACCTGTCAGAGATTTCATCCAGGGGCCAGAGGAGAATACAGGCCCTGAAGTAGCTTAAAGAATGGAGGAATGGGGGAAGAGAACCAAGCTGTTGCGCTCCTGTTTTCCATCCCACCTGACCTGTGCTCCTAGGTGATGGCCTTGCTAAGTCTCCCAGTCCTTTGAACCCTTCGCAGCGGACATTTAAAGCAATGAATCTGAACTAGACATGGGCTTCACAACTATCTGGGGTGTTACTCACAACGTGCATAACTAGGCCTACCCCAGATTTCTGAAACAATTTCTAGAGGGTGGGGCCTACTCATGAGTATCCCAAGGGTTCCACAGATCACTATGTGATACACCTCCAGTTGACGACCACTACGTTTAAAAAAATATTCCGTATGGCTAATAACAATAATAAAAAGAGTGATAATATATATTGAGAACTTCCCTTATTCCAAGCACCCTTTTTGGTGCTATACATTCATCAACTCATTAAATTCCGACAATCCTGTAAATTCTAGCATTAGCCCCATTCTACAAACAGGCAGAGAAAGGCTAAGCCACGCGTGCAAAGTGACAGCTTGTGAGTGAAGAAGCCAGAATCTGAATCCAGGCTGTGAGCTCCAAAGCCCAAGCTCTTCACCACTGGGCTGTGGAAGAATAACAAACCTCCTTCCTCTGCTCCGGTCCAAAACAATGAAAGCAATACTTATCCAGTGCTTCTACCAGCCCCCCGCCTGGATGAATGAGAATAAGATGCAGGCTCTCGCCTCTAGGGGTTTGTGTTCCAGGCAGAGAAAAAAGCCACAGGCACTTGGCTAGGTTTTAAAAAAGTTACCAAATGGAATGCAAACCTAGAAGTTTAGCTATGTTATTTAAAGTTACAAATGTAGCTAACAAAGAAACAAAAAATAAAAATTTAATAAACATTGAGAAGAACAGGGGAGCAGAAGGCTGTGTAACTGAGGTAAGTCCTTATTTTTTCATAGAGGGGAGAGAAAACTGAGAGCTCCAGAAATGCAGATGTGTAGGTATACGCTGGACCTATGGAGATGCACATGAGAGGAATTGAAAACAAAAACCTTGAAAACAAGCTGTGCTTGGAGGTGTGACTGGGAATGCACCGAGATTACTTTGTACTCCATAATGTTCTGCAGACTTAGACTGAACATGTGCATGTGACACTTTTAATATAATACAGCTTGTAATATAAGTGAAATGTGACTCAAAGGGTGGAAGGTGCCTCTGAGTTTGCTTCCTCCTTCCTGTAAACACTGGAAGCATGATAAGGCATGCCATTACCAGACAAGAAACCCTGATGAATCTCTACAGGGCAGCAGATACGGGATTGACGGAGCAATAAAGAGGGAATTGTAGCCCAAAAAGTCCCTGGGAGAAGGTACAGGGAGGTGGGTGCACACGCCAGCAAAACTGTGGAGGCTCTGAGCGACAGGGTGCATCTGCCAGGCAGGAGTGGGCTCTGGGAAAGACAGCTGGGGAGTCACCTGGGATCAGCTGGGCCTGCGTCTGACTATAGCTGCAGCTGTGAAACTAAACTCTAAACAGCTGTTGAAAAGCAGATTCAGATTCAGTCAATCTGAGGTGGCTCCCAAGAGTCTGCACTTCTACTCTGAGGCCGGGCCATGCCCAGGCTGCTGGTCCACGAACCACAGTGAATAGTTACAGCGCTCCAGACAGACTTCTTCGGGAGAGGCCACTGAGTGGCCACTGTGAGTGGGAGGGAAAAGGAGGAAGACCAATGTCTGAAGACTTTCTGGATAAGGGGCCCTGAGAAAAAAAACAAAGAAACAACAGAAAAGGAAAGAAGCAGCTCTGTCCAGAACTGAGACACTGCTCACTGAAGCATGCCATCGTGGGAGTAATATGCTCTCAAGTTTATTTATTTTTTTAATAAATAGAGATAACACAAAAGACAAAATAATTGAGTGGGAGGGAAGTATTGACAGGAGGAGGAATCTAACAACAGGTGGAATCAAGTCAGATTTGGAAGAGCCTCAGAGAAATAAGAAAACAGAAACCTGTGTGAAGTGGGCACTGTTTAACCACAAAGTGAGGGCAGAAAAGGACATGGTGGTACTTGGCCTGGTGGAGCTGAAGGTCACTAGCAAAGCTTTTTTGTCCATCCCAACTCCAGTAAACCAGGTAGGATAATTTCCCTGAGGTTAAAGACTCTGCGTTTCAGACTTCGAGGGCCCACAGTATGCCAAGTAAAGAGGAAACATCACCCCTCCATCTGCTTGTCTTCTGATGAACACACAAATGCCCAAGAGATGGGGAAAGTCCCAACAGCTTCCAGAAAGGAGAGGGAGGAGGAAGGAGACAAGGCTGGGCACGTCTCCCTAGCCACCCAGATGCTGGAAGGTGGAGACGGGATCTACAGAACAGCAGTGGCTGCCTCTGTCTGAACCCCAAGAACAAGGGGCTGCAGAGGGGCAGCAGGTGGGGCATCGTGTGGCTATCACAGCAGCTCGTTCCATCAGACCCGAATTGTGTCCCCAAGTCTGGGGTTTCTGAGAAGAACTCCTGGGTGCGCCCCCGAGGCCAAGCTCTCCCTGACCCACCAGGTCCCCTTGCCCTGGCCCAACTGGCCCGGCACGGGCTCACCTGGACACCTCCGTGTTGCGCTTTCTCCAGCTGCCATCCTGGCCTCCTCTTCTCCTTGTCCCAACCTGGAGATCCTACCTGGTTGGGCCACGAGGAATCCTGTTAAGGGGAAATGACAGAGGACTTTCTAATTGACACATGAGGCATTCCGGAACCGAGGCCCATCCTTGCAGGGCAGAGATGGTCTGGCCTCGGTGACTGCCCCGTGAGCCCAGCTAGTGGGCCCTCAGTGCAGACCATCCACAGAGAAGGTGACAGCACAGACAGGGTGCAAACGCCATTATGAATTCTTGACCGTGAGCCTAAGGCCCGATTCATTCAGGGCCCAGACGCCCCTGAGCTGCAGCAGCCGACAGAGAGGGAGCCCCGGGGGGTGCGTTCCAGTCACCCTGTGAAGGGTCCCTCACCCACGGAGACAAGGTGGCTGTAGTTCTCCAGCATGACATCCCTGCAGAGGTTCTTCTGAGTGGCGTCCAGCTGCTGCCACTCCTCCAGGGTGAAGTCCACAAACACATCCCTGAAGGTCAACATTTCCTGCAACAGCACACTCCTCCTTAGCCCACTGTCAAAACAAGGTGGGCAGTGGGGGGGGGGCACTGGCATCTAGAGGGTAGAGGCCATCGATGTTGCTAAATATCCTCCAATGCACATGGCAGCCCTCCACAACACAGCATTATCTTGCCCAAACGTCAAGAGGGCACAGGTGAGAAAACCTGGGGTTGAGCAGTGAAATGGAATGATCATGAAAAGGACTAGAATGTGCTGTAATATGCGAAAAGAAGAAAATAAAAAGAAAAAGGGATTCTTAAGATAGATAAATAGGCACACATGATTTTCGGAAGAATGCATGAAAAAATGAAGGAGACACAAAGACAGGGTGAGAGGGAAAATTATTTTTCACCTTTTGATGAACAAAGTTTTGTTTGAATTTTTTGCCATATGCACAGAGTACTTTTTAAAATACTCAATTCAATTTATTAATGCTCTATTCAGAACATGTTTTTAGAATTTTGGCATCCATATTCTTAAGTGAAAGTGGTCTTTCACTTTTTGCTTTCTTGTAGTATCTTCCTTGAATTTAAGTTAACTGGCATCATAACATGTACTGGATTCCTTTTCACCTTTTAACAGCCTGGAAAAGTTGAACACAGAAATTATCTGCTCTTTAAAATTTTGTGAAAGCAGCAATTAGTCCAGGATTTGGAAGAGCAAATGTAAAGTGTGAACACCTTTGATTCAAAAATCCTACTTCCAGGTGTATTCTCCATAAATACCTGTACTAATGGGCCAAGAGATACATAGAAAGTTCTTCATGAGGCACTGTATATAATAGAAAAAGAAAATTAAAAATCTAAGTGTCCATTCGTAGAGAAATAGTTAAATGATACTTCTATACCATGAAATAGGAACTGAAATAATCTTTATGTACTGATGAGGAACAAAACCCAGAATACAATCAGGTGGGAAAAGCAAGATGGGTATGGGAGTGTGATGGCACTTGTGCAAAAACACATGTTACATATATGTCTATTTTTAGTTAAATTGATGTAAATGCATCTACAGCACCTTATCACCAAATTGTTAACAGTGGGCATCTGCGAGGAAGATGTGGTACTGGGGAGAGAAGAAGTAGGGATCTTTTGGATACTGTTTTTATGCATATTGGAACATGAGACATGGATTTACTTTCATTATTTCAAACATAATGAAAAAGCAAAAAGTGAACTGAAAGTGAAGAAATAGAAAAAGCAAGATGAGTCTATGTATTTAAACAATCTTCTCTGAGAAGGAAAAGAAAAAAAAGAAGAAGAGCAGTCCCAAGAGTAAGAAGTAGATTTTAAAAGTCTTTTCCTTTCTATCTTGTTCCTTTTTCTTTTCTCTTTTTTTTTGGTGAGGAGGGGAAGGACTGGAGAATCTGAGGTGGATGACAGGTTGAACAGAAAACAGCCAGAGCTAAGTGGACTAATAGATTTTTCAAGGCTGCAATATAATTTCCTAATTGCTGCCTCAAATTCACTGGAAACAAAGTAGGGGGTAAATTAGGAACTCACCTGGGACACGGCCATCTGGCTCTGCCCTGACAAAGGATGGAGATCTAGGAAGGCAGAATTAGGAGGGTCGAGATCAGTGCATACAGCCATGAGACCACCATCACCAGCTTAATAACAATCGCTCTTGCCCCACAGCGGGGATGATCTGGACACGTGGCTGGTAGCTCCAGCCTGTTCCCCTGGGACACGGCTAAGATCCTGTGTGTTTTCCACGTCAATTTATTTTCTCTTCCTGGACAGATTTATGACTTGTGTTTAAAGACATCTCCTCGGAAGCCATTAACAACCTGACATCTCCTTTCTCTCAGGAATTCTATGCCTGGAAATTTATCGTAAAAAGGCAATCATAAATAAGCACAGGCTACAAGGATGTTAACTGTAGGTGTTTCCACCATTCAACAATTTGGAAGCAACTAAACCTCCAGCAAAGGGGACTCAGATCAAAAATTAGACACGCAACATGGGAAATACCACATGGGCTTTAAAAATGCAATGCAATCCTGTTCTCATTTCTTAACGTATTTAAAAGTAGGTTACCAAAAAGCAAGTGTAGTGCGATCTCCTTTGTTAAGCAATATGCATTTATTGAGGAAGAGCAGTGCAGAAGGGCGTTTATGAAAACGTTGACACTGCTTACCTTCCAGTGGTAATTCCACCTTTCCTCTTTTATTTACTTGCATTTTTTCATTTTTCACAATATCATTTACTAGTAAAACAGAAAGGAGAAATTATTACAAATCACCTATTATCACACTGAGCCCTGGAGGTGATAGACCCTGAGCAAAGTCTGGAGGACAGGGACAGCTTGCTGTGGTTTGGAGGAAGGAGACAAACCAGAGCTGAGCGCAGGGCCGAGGGGAGGGGCGAGGAGGGAGGAGAGGTGCGGGGTAGAGGGAGGTTAAGGGCCAGGCATTGGTCACTTCCACATGGAGCTGGAAACCACTGACCTTGCGCCAGGCTCCTTCGGACCGTCAGTGGGCCACCGCCACCCTGTTCCCGCCCCAATACTTCCTTAGTTCCTATTATGTCCATTTGATCGCCATGCTCTCCCTTATTTGGCGGTGTTCAAAACACAGTTTCAGCAAGGAGCTTTTGTTAACCATTGCTACCGTAGCAATCCCTGCCTTAAGATCAGGACAACAGGGCTCAGCAAGATGCAGCTTAATGAGTCACTTCCCAGACCCAGTTACTAGCATCAAAATGAGAGGCAGCAGAGCTAGGTGATGGCCTACCTAGAGACCACGCTGAAAGGTCACACACACAGACAAACCAAAGACACCTCTTTGGTCATCTAGTCAGGGTAGAGGAGATTCAACATTTCTGCTACAGGTAAGTGGGTTGTTTATACTATGGGACTGACTCAAATCCAAAAATAGCCCAGGGGACTTCCCTGGCCGAACAGTGGGTAAGACTCTGTGCTTCCACCACAGGGGGCGCGGGTTCCATCCCTGGTTGGGGAACTAAGATCCCGCATGCCATGCGGGGCGGCCAAAAACAAAACAAAAATAGCCCATGGCACAAGAGGGAAGTATAATGATATGTGCACAAATGTGTCAAGAGTGGAGAAAGTCCCGTGAGGCAGGTGGTCAATCTTTCCAGCCTGATCCTGCCTTTGCAGGCACTACAGCAGGGCAGCATCCCTTCATCCGTCTGTAACTTTCATCCCTCTCCTCCAATAGGGGTTCAACTGACCACCATCACACAGCTCTTGATGGTGGCTAGAAGTTGAGTCACCGAGTCAGCCTTGCTCTCTCTCAGCTGAAGGAAGGGACAGAGGGCACTGCAGGTCCAGTTCTTCTAGGACCTGCTATCCTGTGAGCCCCCTCCCTCTAACCAGAGTATCTGGGTCTGTCCTGTGAGCCTTCCCCCTCTGCCCCTGGGGTCTGGGCTGGCGCTCCTCTTCCAACTCCCCTCAGAGGAGCTATTTTATTTCTAAGGAGGCAGGACCCAAGGATTCAAAGACAAAGGTAACTTTGCTGGGACCATCACTTCAGGACCATGTCTCTGCCTCTGACCCGAGGAGCTCACCTCCTTCTGAGGCCTCAGGCTGGGTCTTCTGTAGTCTAAGGAAGCCCATGGCAGATCAGCTGGTGTCAAGCTGCTGAGCTGTGGGCTCAGTTATGAACCCTGACCCTGGAAAGGCAATGACCACACAGGCGATGCAATTAGCAACCTCCATGATGGAGCGAAGTTGAGGAAAACCCCAAAGTTTTCCTTGCCACCATAAGGCACAGTGCCTCACTGTAGTTTTAAGAATTGACATTCAGTAAGAGCTGAATTACCGCCCGATAAGGTCTGGGCTCTGGAACGAAACTGACCGCCTGCTCTGCCGCTTTTATTCGTTTCGTAAGAGGTCAGGGCCTACTGTGTGCCTGTTCTACTGTTCTACGGGTTCTACTGTTCTACGTGAACAAAACTTCAGAGTTCCGCCATCTTGCGGAGCCATACTCTTAGCAGGGGAGATACAGACAGTGAGCCAGCAAAGTGATAAATGTAGGGTGCGTTTGTTGGAAAGGCATAAACGTTATGCCGAAAAAACGAAAAAAGAAAAAGGATCCCTCCACTTTACTGTGTGACTTTGGTTAGGTTTCCCATCCTTTCTATTCTTTCTTTCTCCGTAAAACAAAGAGCATCGTAGTACCTACTCACAGGGCTATTGTGAACAGACTACTGTGAAACACAGGGGTGCCCGGCCTTTACTAGGCACTGAGGAAACGGTCGCTGAATGAATCAAGCAATGAACCAATCACTCGCTGACTCCCGTAGCCCCCCCCTCCCCTCACCACCGCGGCCCTGTCACTCAACCCCCCAGGGGCGCGACCTCATTGCCCAAGGCCCCTCCGACCTCCGCATCCAGCCCATCACCAACTCCGCCCTTCCTTACTCCACCGCCAGGAACCCGAGGTCTCAGGGCAGATAACAACCGGAAGCGTCAACTCGCACCGCCCTCGGGGTCAGCAGGGCACTTCCGCTCGCCGTCGTCCCGGGAGCCCGAGCGCCGTGCACGCGCAGGAGCGGGCTTTGGGGGCGGGGGCAACACAGCCAATGGGCAACACGGTGCCTTTCGGGGACAAAGGATTCTGACGTGGTTCCCTCTGAGGTTAGATGGAGCGACGAGAGCGTGCGAGCATTTTCCGCGACGAGTCGTACGAGAGGCTGGGGAGGCGTGTCGGGCGGCGGGAGGCGAGCGGGCTCCGCGCGGACTGTCGTGGCGATCCGAGTCCGCCGCCTCCGAGGCCGAGGCCCGCTCTCCCAGTCCGTTCTCCCGCGCGGCCGGGCCTCCTTGTTGCTGTGCTCCCTGGGGAGTTCCCGCCCCTCCATGTTCCAAAGCCACGCTCTCCTCTTTCTTTAGATCCTCAGAAAAAGAAACCGGTAGTCGTGCCTGCTGCCTCCACGGCGGCACATGGGCGCGGCCGTCTTGGGCGCGGGGTGGAACCGTCGGAGCCGGGCCCTGGTCTCAGGCCAGGGGTCGGGGAGCAGGGTTCAAGCTCAGTCGGGGAAGCAGCATGCAGGAGGGGCTGGGAGTTGTGCTGCAGGGCAGGCAGCATGCACAAATGAGGAGGAAACCATGATGCCTGATTCTCCTGAAATCAGTCGAGGAACTCCGGTTTCTGGGACCTTGGGGATCCTTGGAGAATCTGGGCTTTGCCGGTTGGAAAGCACAGCATAAAGTGGGGGGAGAGCTGTTTCTCTGACGATGCCAGCCAGTGGCAACATGGCCTGCTAAAAGTCCTGTAGTGCCCTTGAGGAAAGTTTTCTGTTCCCTGTCGGGGTCTGGGGAAAGAGACCAAGGGTGTGCCGTGTGCTTGTGGTACCTGCCTGGTCACCAAGCAGAACTCCTTGGGCTGGGCAAGACAGGGTCTGGGCTCAGTACACCCAATTCCTTCTGTGCTACAGCCAACAGGTGCCAGGCACTGTTGAGAGAAGCAAGTGACAAAAGCAGTCATGGAAGCCAACATACATTTATTTACTCTTCCATCTGAACATACTGCTTTCTTCCTGTCTTTCCCTTTCGCCTCTGAGGAGGTGGTGGCATGTGTGATATTCCCAGGTTGGTTGGATGAATCATTGCCCAGATCTACAACCTGGAGGTCTCCTGGGAAGTGACTCTGTCCCAGTCTTGTGTAGAAGTCCCGGGAGAAGAGTCTGTTTTCTGTCAGGCACGTGACTGGGGACTTGCCCCCCCCCCCACTGTGATTCTTTGTACCTTAAATGTTGGCCAGGTTTAGGGATGGTAACCTATTTATTTCCAGAAGAGAGGTGACCTGATAAGTTTTTCTGACACCACTGTCAGGAGGCAGGAGAAAGTTAATAGAATTAGTATGACAGTGTCCTGAGGACAGTAGAGAAACCCCCAGCTGCAGAAAGACCTGGTCATTGGCCCTGGTCAGACGCTCCCCATATCCTGACTCTGCAGGAATGAATGCTTTCTCAAAGAGAAGGGGCTGGCGAAGGGCGTGCAGTTGTTGCTCATGCCGTGCCAGCATTTCCTAGTGTGACTTGGGCATCCAGGAACCAAGAAACATGCCAAGGTGTTCTTCCAGCCCACACTCCGCCCAGCTGTTGGGATCTACCGATCCGTAGAAGAGAAGGCTTGGCTCCACCACTTACCGGCCCTTTGGGCCTCTTGTATGTCATAGCTAAAGACCGCACATCCCAACGGGCTGTCAGGATTGTTTAAAGGAACATCTCTAGCGCCCCCAGCCCAGAATGTGTCCTAAGGCAGGCACCTGGTAAGTGGTGGTATTACCAAAGCAAGCTTGGGTCCACTCACCCACACCCCATAAAACGTATGTACTGACACCAGGTCGTGGTGAAGGAAAGTACAGCGTGTACTGCAGGGCACCAAACAAGGAGTCCAGGCAACTAGTGCTCAAAAGGCCTGAACTCCCCAATGGCTTTCAGGGAAGGGTTTTTAAAGACAGAGTGAGGCAGGAGGTTGTGGGATGTGTGATCAGCTGATGGCCATTCTTCTGATTGGTTGCTGGTGAGGTAATCGGGGAGTCAACCTCATCAACCTTCTGCTTCCAACCAATCTGGGGTCTAAGTGCTTGTGGTCAGCATGCAGTTAAGGTCTTCCGCCTGATGGGGATTTCAGTATCTGCAAAACAGCTCACAGGATATGGCTCCGGATATTATCTATAGCCCTTGGGGAGGAACTAAAGGTCCTTGACTTTGTTTAATGGCTAAACTATTATTTTGTCTTGCTTGACTGTTTTCCTTTGTTTCTGCATTTTCTCACTTCTCTGATTAAATTATTCTTTGAAACTTGGGGAAGACCAAAGAGGCCAGAGTTTTTCTACAGATGAGAAGCAGGTGGAGGACATGGGAGGGGTCTGTCCCCGGAAGGCCTCTAGGGTCCTGCTTGGTTACCGTGGCAGTTTCTGCTGTCCTCTCCCCAACACTAGGGAGCATGCTGGTGCCAGTGCTGCTCCTTCCTGCACTGTGTGCTTCCCTCCCCTTCGCCACCAACCTTGCCCAGGGTCACCACTGAAAACGTCTTTTTGTTGTTTTTTTTTTTTGCCCAGGGCCCAGGAGTGAACCCGGGCCCTTGGCGGTGAGAGCACAGAGTCCTAACCACTGGACAGCCAGGAATTCCCTGAAAACATGTTTTTAAATGGCAATTAGGCCTCTAAGTTAAAATTCATTGTAAAGTGTAACCTCAGCAGGCCCAGGTTACTCAAGCCCTTACGTTCCCAAGAAAAGCCTGTCTCAGGAAGACTGGTCCTTGTCCCACTCCTGGGAGAGCACCACAAAGAGCCTGGCGTGTTCTGCCTAGTAGGGTATTTCTGTAATCCAGGCACCTCTGTTCCATCTGACCAGGTGCTTCATGCTAATGGTGTGACGTATGGTGAGGGTCTGTTTTGTATGTCTGAGGCCCTCGGCTGTGCTGTATTAGTTTGACACCTGGGGGCTGTAGACCGAGTAGCTAAAGTGAGTGACGTGGAATCTGCATGCCTGCATGACTGACCTCCAGTCAAATCTCTGGACCCCTAGGCATGGGTGAGCTTCCCTGACTGGCAACACTTTGCATGTGTTGTCACACATCATTTCTGGGAGAATTAAGCATTGTCCATGCGACTCCTTTGGGAGAGGACAACTGGATCTCACCACTGGTTTCCACTGGACTGCAGCCCTGCACCTTTTGCCTTTGCTGATTTTACTTTCACTGTCATAAATCCTAACTATGCGTATGGGACTTCCCTGGTGGTCCAGTGGTTAAGACTCCATGCTCCCAATGCAGGGGTCCTGGGTTCGATCCCTGGTCAGGGAACTAAAGCCTACATGCCACAACTAAAGAGCCCGCATGCCACACTAAAGAGCCCGCATGCCGCAACTAAGACTTGGTGCAGCCAAATAAATAAATTTCTTTTAAAAATAATAATAATTCTGTATATAACAGCTCAGCTGGACTCACAGACTCTGAAAAGAACTAACAGCTTTTCTGAGTTCCGAGTCCTTCTAGGGAACCTTTAAGCCTGAGGGTGGTCCTGGGGAACCCGAACATACTGTTCCTGTAGATTCTGAGGTTCGTTTGTTTCAACCATCCCAGTGGGTGGACCTCATGAACACAGTGTGACTCCGCCCCCAGCAGTACACTTGCTTGGTGTTTGTGCGGAGGTTGCAGACCTGAGGAGCAGCAGCTGGAGGGCACTGCTGTGTTTTTCCCGCCTCCGAGGAGCAGAGGTCCTGAGTACTTGCAGTGGGCGACAGCTGAGGGAGCTTGCTGTCTTGCTGTGGTGCAGGGTTCTGCTGAGGGTCCCTGGTACATGCCTCTTCCTGGAAGTTTTCCCTGCAGTGACTGAGGTGACAGGTCCATCAAGCAATGTCTTGATGACGTTCTGCTCTTTGAACTGGGTGAGTTCCTGTAGGAAAGGGAAGGCCAGTTGCAAGTGTTCATCTCCTGCTGCACTGCATCGCTGTGTGTGCCACTGCCTCTGCAGATTTCCCACAGGCAGGAGAGTGTGCAGAGTGAATGGGGCTGGAATAGACAAAATGGGAATCCACCCCAGGGAACTGGTTGATGGCTCCAGTATGTTGGCATGAAGCCAATCACATGACTGTCAGGTGGCACAGAGGTTAGAGCTTCAGTCTTTGGATGACTGTGTCTGTTAGTTGAGAAGTGTGTGTACCACAATGAAACCCAAAGGAGGAAGACTTCAGCTAGCTGATGACGATTCTACTTTCAAGGTCTCTTTCTGTTATTGAAGGATGTTGTAATAAGCCCAGTGTGTAATAATATGTACTGTGGGAAACAGGCAGGAGAGTATGTAGAGTGAGTAGAGCTGCTGTTTTCAGAAGTGAAGGCCCTTTCCTCTTGTGCCCCTCTCTTCAGTCATTTTGCTGTACTCGTCATGTCCTATGTTGATGTCACTATCTCATCTGAATTTAACAGTGGTTTTTGCCAGATGTCTTACCACTGGTTAATATATTAAAATTATTGCCTGTAGCCAAATGTATTTTTATACTTCTGCTTGCTTCAGTTATTTTTGTACGAGTTTCCTGTTGATTTGTAATGTAGTAGCACAAAACTAATTCTTAATGTCCATCTCCAGTGTGAATTTCACATGCTAAACCAAGAAAAACCTATAGGGCTTCCCTGGTAGTGCAGTAGTTAAGAATCCCCCTGCCAATGCAGGGGACATGAGTTCGAGCCCTGGTCCGGGAAGATCCCACATGCCGCGGAGCAACTAAGCCTGTGCTCTAGAGCCTGCGAGTCACAACTACTGAGTCCGTGTGCCACAGCTACTGAAGCCTGCACGCCTAGAGCCCGTGCTCCACAACAGGAGAAGCCACCG